TTCTAGTACATCTACATTATTTGGTTCAGCATCCACAAATTTGTTGAGATCAACCAAAGCATCATCATACTTATTAAGCATGTAATAGACTTGTCCTCTCAGTCCTAATAAATCAGCATCATTTGGTTCAGCATCCAAGAATTTGTTGAGATCAACTAATGCATCATCATACTTATTAAGCATGTAATAAACATGTCCCCTCACTCCTAATGCATTAATATCATCTGGTTCAGCATCCAAGAATTTGTTGAGATCGACTAATGCCTCATTGTACTTGCTAAGCTCATAATAGACTTGTGCCCTCACTCCTAATGCATCCACATTATCTGGTTCAGCATTCAAACATTTGTTAAGATCAGCTAAAGCATGGTAATACTCATTAAGTATGCAATAGACATGTCCTCTCACAACTAATGTAAATGTATCATTTGGTTCAGCATCCAAAAATTTGTTGAGATCAACCAATGCATTGTCATACATATCAAGCATGCAATAGACTTGTCCCCTCAATACTAATGCATCTACATTATCTGGTTCAGCATTCAAAGATTTGTTAAGATCAGCTAATGCACGATCATACTTATTAAGCATGCAATAGACATGTCCTCTCACTACTAATGCAAATGCATTATCTGGTTTAATTTCTAGGGATTGTGCTAGATCTCCAAGTGACTGTCTATATTCAGATCTCAACATGTGATATTTTCCACGCCATGCCCAAGCATCTGCATTTTCAGGACTGTTTCTAATAGCTTGTGTTAGATACTCATAGCATTCATTATTGTAGTTTAAACTTTCAATATATGCAATAGCAAGCTCACATTGGATAGTTGAATCATCAGGATAATCTTGGAGTGATTGTTTGAGCAATACAATTGCATCTTTAAATCTTTTTTCATCAAGAGCTTTCTTGCCTTGGCTGTATGTGGGATGCAGGCCTTTTGGTATCCTTAGCATCTGTAAAAAACTTTTCTTTGGTTTTGTTTTCAGCAAATACAAAAATTTTGACCTTTTAATTGAAGATTCTTCAATGTCATCATTTAGATCTTCTGCAACAACAGAAAAGTCTGCAGCTTTGTTTGGTGGCTTGATATAACCAGTTGCAACAAATTTTTTATGCAAAGCTTTGTAAATTGGTGAATTTGGTAACTTCTCAGTATCAAGCATTTGAGTTGTTTTCTTACAATAAAAGCATTTCAATTCTTGATAGTTCAATTTCATGAATGTCTCCAATGCCAATTGACTGATCTTGTGTTTACATGGCAGCATTCTGAAATCATCTGTAACTTCTTGTGTAAATGGACATGTAAGATGATCAGCCACCATGTCTAAAATGAACAATTCATTTGGATTTGAGGCAAGTAAATTCTCAGGTGTTTTGTCAGACATTTCCTCCTTATGCTTCAAATATGGTTTTCCAGAGACTGTTCTGTCAATTATCTGGCCAATATACTTGTGCTTATTGTCAATGTAATCCCTCATATCATGAAAGCTCTTTCCATAGACCTTGTCTAATTTTGAAAGAGTTTCAATATGTGAATCTAGATCAAGTTGCACAACTGAAAAGGTTTCTGGTTTCTTTTTATAAATCAGCTGTAAGACTTCTACTGCTTTAAATTGAATGTACCTTGTTGTTACTATGTCAAGAGACTGTTTTGCAAGATAATAACAATGAGCCAAGGTGTGGATATTTTTTGTATAAATGACCAGATTTTGAACAGTTTCCAATATGCCAAACAATAATGAGTATGGATATGATTCTGGAGCATAGTTACTTGTACAGTACAGGGTATGTTTTACTTTAGACATAAACCTACCATAATCAGTCTCTGGTTCCGATTCTGCAATTGCTTTAGTCCATTCCTGGTCCCCAAATGTCCACAAATCTTTAATAATCATTAATTCACCTCTGCTAACTAAATCTCTGTTAATGGGAATGAGTGACCATTCAAAAAATGTTTGATACACACAATATAAGTATCTCCAATCCTTATACCAGTAGCTAGCAGGCAGCTTGGCATTGTGAAATTTGTGGTAAGTCTTGATGGTGGTGCTGTTGTCAATTGGTGTTTCCACATTTGCAATAATCTCTGTAGTCAGAGCTCTATCTGTAGTAGTAGTAACATCTGGTGAACTCTCAACTAATGTGAAAAACAGAGCCTTTAACCAGTTTATAATTTTAAACCAGGTTGTATCATCATCACTATTGTTATCATTCATTACATAAAGAGTGTCACGAAGGTGCACAATTAAGAAATCAATATTGTAGTTCTGGACTTTGACTCCTGCATTATTTCCATTTAAACCCTCTTCTAGTACCTCATACAATGTTGCAAGCTGACTATATAAAATTTCGCGAAATTCTTTTCTCATCAAGAGTGGTCTCTTGCCATAGGCTTCCAATGCTAACACATATGTTCTAAGATGAAGCTCTAATTCCATGCTAGTTGTATCCTCATGACTGGTGTATGAGACAATGTCAGTCCCTATTGTTTTCAACACATTTTCCAATTGGTCAGTGTCAAACCTAGCTTCAGCTGACAATAGCAGGCTGTGCAACTTGGCAAAATGATGCTTTCTGTTGTTGTTCTTGGTGATGGACTCTAGTGATCTGTTCAATTGCTCTTCTAATTGTGTTGCACTTAGATGTTCATTATCCTTAATTGCATTGGCAAATAACAATTCATTGTCATCCTCATCACAGTCAAAAGTAATTAAATCACTATTAGCCATGTCTCCAAGTTCTGGCTCTGCATCTTCTATCTGTTGGCCTTTTCCACTATTTGAGGTTGAAAATGATTGCTGACCATTGTCATAATAGTATTATTATGTTTGTTCATTAGTCACTTTGAATTATAAAACTCAACATGTAAGTATCAGATTATTATTATTATGTATATTAGCAAACACATACCCATGCATTAGCCATCTCTGAGTAATCTTATCCAAAGAATCCAAAGCATTAAAACCACTTGCAAATGATACTGATAGTAATAGTGTGTACCAACGGACAAACCAAAATTTGTCATACAATCAATGCATAGTACGAGTTTAATTGATGATATTAACATGATTGTATTAAGCAATTTACTGTGATACCTGCCATAAACACAACCCCATACGTGCGAACCCCTTTAAATGCAACACTTTTCAGTCCCAAGTATGGGGACTTAATGAATAAACGCATCCCCCTAGTTTCTTGCAATTGCATTGCGATCCCACTCTATTGCAAAATAGATTTATTCTTATGCGCGCGCAAATCACGTGATTTCTGTAACGTTATTTGTTGCGGAAATTGATCAACACAATGCACGAGTAGTACAAATTTGTTCAATAATTGTCAAATATAATGCACCATTTTCTGTTATCGGTCCAGTTTTGTGTGTGTGAAGAACTGCTTTTTTTGTCTCAGTATGAATTAAAAGCTGATGATGATAGTAATGAAACCCAATAGTGAGTGCTCAAGGCTTAGACATCTGTGTTGAGTATTATTTTAGAATTCCTTATGAATATCTCATAATTCCGTCGACTGGTCGTGTCGGAGATGGGTATGGCAAACCTGACAAGGTCATTTGGCGCGGCAAGTTGTTCAATAACCAACACCTCGTAAGTAATGTATTGTGTTTGCTTCTTTAGTATTATTAGAGTACTGAAACAATCCATATTATCTTTCATTTCCAAATGGCAGAATCCACTATATCGTGGACAGCGAGTCGAGGTCTAAGTCGAAGGATTTGAAAAGCCCTTAAATGCAGGGGGTAGAGAGAAGAATGAATGTAAATTGGGTAATCAAAAGGGCTAATATTTAAAATAGTTACAATACTCATAGCCAGCAACAATTATTAGAAAAGAAAATTCATTGCTAAACATTCAGGAATGCGTTGAGCACAGAAGTCGCTGGAATAATTCTTATATTCAGCAATATATACCGTCTCCTTAATTTTATGCATACATTAGTTCGTATTTTTATACGCCACCTCTCGTAGTAGAACACTAAATTGTCGAGTAGATAGTTCCGAACATTATCATACGTGTTCAATTAACTGTTTGATATTGATTTAACGCGCGCGTAATCTATCCTCTTGAGCGTCGCTTGTTGTCCATTCATATACAATCCCCCGTTTACAAGTAATAGTAAAAATGCCTGAGAATAAAAGTAGTAAAAGGTAATTATCATACTTGGTAAATCCTCTACCATTTTATTGCGATTCCCAAACCATCGTCTAAATTGACTGACATCATTATTGTAATGGTCCCAAGAAGTTTATCAAGCCCGTCAACTGCCGAATATGTCTTCAAAAATTCACACGTGCACACACGCATTGTTCGCAGTAACACACTTCCAATAATGAACCATCTTCATAATCAACGCAATCTTTATTTACATTCCGATTCCTCACACCTGATCAATAAAACTCTCTGGTATCCGATTCCATCACTCGGTATATGAATATTCAGCGTGTACTGTCTAACACTACAGTCTCTATGAGAATGGAATGGAAACCCCCAAATTTTTTTCAAGTACCGTGTCAGGGCGGTGTGACGCTCAACGGGATAGAATCGAGCCAATTCAAGAGTCGAAAGGCAATATGGTTGTCTCATATATCGATCAAGAGTGTAGAATGTGCAGATTTGTTTAAAGCGGACATGTAAAGGAATTGACGAGGATCAATTATGAATTTCGTTCACGTGATATGTTATATTCTGTAACTAGAAATATTAAATCTTGCATTTACTATATTTCAAAACTTTTTTTTTGTGGGGGAATAGAAAAAAGTGAAATGAAGGTAACGTAAGCGAATGTGAGAACACATGAAATCGTGATTAAACATTACGGCAACGAATTCTAACAAATAAGTAATAATCTAACCATATTATTTATATCCTTTCATTAGACCAGAGATTGGGTTGTTGAAATACTTGGCGACCCGTCTTTTATTATCGTTAAATATCTCAAATATTTCCGAATGCATTGTATGCCATAAGCAAATGTCTGAATCCTAGTCGTCTCCGTCAGCTTCGACTTCCTTGCGTCTTCTGCAGTGTGTGAAAAGAGAAGGGTATATACGATTATGAGCAAGTCCAACTACAAACACACATTATCGTATGCACGGAGAAAAGGCCTTACCTCCTTCGTCGAGTTTTTGGCGCTGAAGATGAAGCTGCTGCTTTAGATGATCCTTCATTATTATCGCCTTCTGCCGCTGCAGATCCCTCTGCTGCTGCTGTTGCTGCCTCGTCCGCATCAGCATTTCTGTTAACAATAAAGGATTTGATTTTCAATGTCAGTCGAGTATACCCAAGACTAAACGACACTCTTGATTTCCTACCCCATTACCACTTATAACCCTTGTCCTTTTTTCTTCTCCTTTGCTTCCCATTCTACTTACTTTCGCCTTCGCCTCCTCTTTTTTGGTTGTGGATTGTTGGCATCATCACCCTTGCTATTTGGATCGGACTTATTTGCGTTTGATGAATTTTCACCTTCATGCGGTTCAACCGGATCCGGTATATTTATCACTACATCTTTAAGAAAGTCAAACTGCTCCGTCTTCATGATTGTTTTTTTACTACAAAAGCAAAAAGGGAGGGAAAGGGGAAGCAGGAGGAGAGAGGAAGAGAAAGTGAAAGAGAAGCGAAATAATATTAATTACGTTTCATAATCATATTTAATGTCGAGTTGGGCTGAACAAGACAGATTTCAAGTAAAATTTAACCCATACAGATGAGCTACAGTTATCCGTTTTGCATCCCTCGATCGAGTTTCTTGACACGCTTGATCAATAAGCGATTGCATAAACAGCTCTAACGCTTTTGCTACAGTCAAATGATATAAACGTAGGTTAGTACGCTCTGAACACTTTAATTAACTACTAACAAACGCAAAAATCAACGTAATTGATTCATGTTTCCGTTCTCTTGCATTCATCTCCACCACAGTTGAACATGCACAAGTATACTTTCAAACGTACAGATTAAAACCGGAGTAGCCTGAGCTACTTTGCCAACGTCTTCGTCCATTTGCATAATTTTCTTGATTCTCGCCTTCCAGTAGACAAAAACAGACGAGTTAAAGCCAGGAGAATTGCGAAAGTAGTAGTCATTTCTGGGAACAGAGCTTACCACCGGAAATTTGGTTTTGTACTTTTTCTTCATTATTTGTCTTCTTTGGTGTCAGATCTGCGTAAGGAATGTGTCGGTTGTGACGTTGGAGTTTGTTATAGCTCGTTCGCTTTTACGCTCACAATTTAGGAGGAGAGGGGGGGGAGAGAAAAAAAAAAGCCAAGTTTTCTTTGACAAGTGTCGTATTGCCCTTTCTGAAAAGTAACTTAACCCATCGAAAGCATCCATCCAATCATGTGTACTCTGGTTTCAACAATGAAAATCAGCTGTAATGTTGTGATACAGTACATGCATGCCTGTTTATTATTTATCTATTTACTGTATTAGTATTACATATACATAATCGGATAAAGACGACATTTATTGTTCTTCGTCCTCCTTCCATTTTGTCCTTTCATTCTTTGTCCCAGCACTCATCACTCACCATAGGGACCAATATTTTATACCAAGCTCCACAGTCAAATTCATCATCCTTATATTTCTTACATTCATTACGTTTTTTCTCCACAATGTCGGCAATCCTCATCTTATGTCTTAGTTTTCTAATCTCACCCGTAACAACACAACTAATATATTCTCTGCGATAATCAGGCTTGGGCATATTCAGAAGATCCGAAGCCATGAAATGTTCGATAGAGTTGGTCAAGGATTTTACTTTCTGCCGATTCGTTACGAGAACGTTCATTAACTCCAAGAGATGACAGCCTAACGAAAAAGAATGAGCGATAAGGAATGTGGAACACTGTATATTTGTACATTAAGCACAATTTACCTTCACGCTTTGTCATAAAGTCGGGAAGTTGCCGCTTCCATTGTTCGTATTTTCGAATTTTATAGGAGGTCTTTTTAATCTCTTGCTTTAGTATGCGGTTCATAGCCTTTTTCTTTGTGTGGTGAATAAATCAAACCGCAGATTATAAATATAGGCTTTTTCATTACTAACCACGTTCCGTCCACTTACAGCAATTATTTTCTTTCTTAAAGAATCTAGTTCTTTCTCAACAGCATCCTTTTGATCTTCTTCAGTGCTCACATCAATATGCTTTAAACGTATGTATATTAAGCAGCGTATGGGTCGGCATCGCGTTTAATTGATTTTATCGAGGGACTTACTTTATTGCATGAAAATACAATTGGAATATTATCGGAAATTGTAAAAATATTTCTTGCAACATACAGTTCAAACACGTCGAAATTATAGTCAACCGACGACTCGAGACCTGTTATCAAGTGACATAGACCCTGATCAACGGTAAAGTACAAGATAAAGATATTATTTGAATATTTACTACAACTCTTTCTTTTTCTTTTAAACCATACCGATTTTATGCTTTTCTCTGGGATTTTCAATACCTCCGCTTCACTGGTGGCATACCGATTAAACTTGTAAGCAGCTTGATAAATTACTTTATTCACCGAATCAATTACGTCGTTGATGAACGATACTGGCGTAAATTCAAAATGTTTTTCCAGAGCTTCGCTCAATTCCATTATAATTATCATGAGTTGGAGAGTGGGTGCTAATTTAATTTTATCTTTTCAAAGTTGCAATTATTCAAACAACAACGCAACGAATGTTTTGTGCGTGTATCCCAACTTTTTGGCGTTATATATACATAATAAATTAATAAACTGGTGATAAGCTGCACGTAATCAACAACCAATACTATAAAAGACGGGGAATAGAATTAAAGTTCCATTCTCAACGTGAAGCGGTCATGCTTGCATGATATTCAAAGTGCTACCGTGAACTAGAATCTTACAATCACGGGTCAAAAAATATGCTTTGTAGATTATCAAACTATTTTTCACGTGATGCATAGCGTACAGTACTGGTAAAAAAAAGCAACTTCAATATAATAATATTCACTACACTCAACCGAAAATGTTCAAAAAGTAACGATCATACTTCCATCACCTATTTGAATCCAGGTTCAAGCTGCATTTATGGTACTGATGCCTTTCTCCCACACACCTTTCTCAACAGATTCAACTTCAAAGACGACGTAGCCTCACAGTCCCAAGTTAAGTCATCAGTACAAAGAGCAATACGTACAAAGTTACTGGAACAATATCCAAACTTGGAGTCAGTCATTGAGGAGATATTACCGAAGAAGGCTCACGTAGTGCTAGTTAAATGGTGAGAGAAGGAAAGATTACACGTAACGGTGCATTGATGAAGATCTTAAACTTGACTGCATACTTTCGTTCTTACTAGTCACGAGCACATAAATCTGTTGATGCTAAACAACGAAATTCTATTCTTCCAACGCTTTGATGGACCTTATTATCCCACTCTCCGACTTGTTCACAAGTGTATGTGTGCTCTTTTTTTTCCCGATATTAAATCGGACATCTTAAATTGTCAGATACATTACTTACCAAACTTTTTAATTTACCAATTACAGATCCTACACTCTTCCCGCGAGTTCAAGTCGATAGAGGTGCAATAAAATTCATCCTTTCAGGAGCCAACATCATGGCCCCTGGGTTAACTTCGGCAGGAGCAAAGATGGAAGAGGATTTACCAGTTGACAGCATTGCCGCTGTATATGCAGAAGGGAAAGAACATGCACTATCCATTGGGTTGTTGAAGATGTCTACCGAGAATATGTAAGTTAAGTAGTGGAGGAGATGGAACCGGGTAGGGGAGAGGGTGTAGCATTTTGATTTCAAATGATCCGTAGCTAACCCCCAAATTTTTCGATTTAAAATAGAAGACAAATCAACAAGGGCATAGCAGTAGATAACGTGCATCATCTTGGAGACGCGCTATGGACATGCGCTCAACGTGCGGAATAACAATTTCTGGACTCTCACGTCTATTAAATTAGTCGAATTATAACTGGTTATGTCATGAGCATTGTTTGAGTTACTATTGGATTTGCGTATATGATGCAAGTAACGGTACAGCAAAGTGCCGCTTGGGGTGCAGCAGACGTATATACAAAGTGTTGTCAGTATAGTTTCCAGAGTGATCAATTGCATCAACCCCTGTTACCGTCTGGGTATGTAACCCCATTCTAATGAAGTCGATGAATCCAAAAGAAATAAGAGTAGTCTGGGTCATTGTATGCTTGCACTGTATAAGCCCGAATGCTTGAAAAGGAACGAAAAAAAGAAATATTGTCCTTATTAAAAGACTATTTTGAGCATGGGGCATGTATAATGTACAAATCTCAAATAAATGCATTTTGGCTTTGGTGTGGAGCACCAAGACCTCATTGTTAGATGTGGAGTGACAACAAGTCTTTGGATTCATTTATGGAGTAATTTGAGTTCACCTTCGGTGCGTGTATACAGTACAATGGGATGGGATACTCTCAACCGATAGATGTACAAATGAATGAATGGACAACGAGTGACATAGTTTATGTTTGCGGTTAAATCGGTATTTGTGTAAACGACCGTTCTATGTTTGCTCAATGTCAAATAGTTGACTGAAGAACGCCTGCTAAGGTTTGGATTATCAATACAACTATATTACGAGGTAGATGTAATGCAAATGAAGGGCATATAGAGTATGCGGACTTTTGAAGATTGGGATCTGGTGGGTGCAGAACGATATATATATTGCTAAACTCTGCCAATGACTTACGCGTCATAGCATTGATCAGGTGCCGAAATCATTAATTGGGAGCTAAGAATTTATCCTGCTGATACGCATATGACATTAACATGGAACATTTGGCGACACTTGACGGGCATAACTTGAAACGTTAGATCCACGTAACTGAGTACGGGTCAATAATGTTGACAATATGGCCCTGATCTGCTTTGTTTCTCAGAGAATGTCTGTATGCAAATAGATTGGTCCCTGCTTTCTGCCGGACTATGCCCAACCACAATGGTTTAAGATGATACCAAAGGTTAAAATAGTCCCTTAGGTTCCCTAAGCAGGTTGTATCGGAGTGGTATTATGAATCATTTACTCCTGTTTTCCATTCGGCGCACGCTTGGTGTACAAGCATAAGCCGTCTTCTTAACGATCAACATTGAAAAACCATTAGTTTTTTTTGGGGGAGGGAGGACATCAATCATTTTATCTTTTTCGTTTCATTACAACTTTGCCACGCTTCTTTTTCAAACCTTTGCCACCTTTTTTACTATCACTAGCCTTACGGTTATTATTACCACTTTTTAATTTCGTCGTCTTTTTCTTGCCCTTTGATATAACAGCACCAGCACCTTTTTTAGACACGTCCGCCAAGTCCAGATCGAACCGCACACGTTTCTCAGTCTTGTTACTTTTACCCTTCTTTTTTACCGCACCTCCTCCAACCTTTTTCTGATTCTCGGGCGGCAACTTTGTAATCTTACTGGGTCTTAGTGCCTTCTTGGCAACTTTTATAGATTTTGCGTTTTTAACCTTGTTAATGGCATCCTCTTCTTCCATAGATTTTAACCTCCTTTTTTTAGCTCTCGACATTCCCGCATATTGGTCTCTTTTGATTTTCTTCGTTTCATCCTTTTCGTCATTGCCATCTTGTCTCTTTCTCTTTTTCCCATTTACACTTGCCTCGCCTCCGTCGCTCGTTAACTTTTTTTGTTTTTCACTAATAAACCAAGTCCGTGCCGGTCTGGACATGATTTCCTCTTGATGTATCAACATGTTTTCGCTCTTTTGCAACTCCATCTCGGCTTGTTGGATGATTTTTTGTTCCTTTTCGTTTGCAAGAATTTGTTTTATGCGGTCCTGTAGTGAATCGATTTGTGCTTGGTATGTGGATATGATTTCGGGAGAAATCACTCGACGTTTGAGATGAGAGTGTGGCGTATGTTTGAGAATTTTCTTGAGAATTTTTCTATCAGGTTCTCCCGTTAGACTGACCGACCTATGGAAATCGGTTAACGCAGAAACTGTGATCAGTAAAACTTGCACACATAGCAAGAGTTCAAGAATATTATACATGGTTGGTAATCTTACCGGCCGTTACGTCCAGCGCGAGCAGTTCGACCCACCCTATGAAGATAGAGCGCGTGCGTCTGCGGCATGTCATAATTGATTACAGTTTCTATACCTTTAATGTCCAATCCTCGAGCCGCTAAATCTGTTGCTAATAAAAAGTCAACCTTGCCTTTTCTAAATGATTCGAGTGCTTGCAATCGCTATTAGAAAAAGCGACCAGAATATTAATTTCGGATCAAACATAAAGATGTTCACGTCCTCCCTCCTCTTCTTGAATTCACCTGTTCTTGTGACAAACTTCCATGCAATTCACCAGCTTTTAAACCCATCAACTCAAACACAATCTTCATCTCATGTACCGACGCTTTAATCTTAAAGAACACTATCACCCTGTGTTTAAATGTCCTACTACATAATGCCAACAATACGGCTGCTCGATCTTTCTCTCTGTGCTCTCTTATCCTTACGAATTCTTGGACGAGTTTTGAGGAAGTGGACTTTACAGAATCGACCATTAATCGCACAGGATGATTCAGTGACAAGCGTATCAGTTCATCAACATTGTCCGTCATTGTTGCTGAAAAGAGCATGGTTTGGCGAGATTTAGGACAAAACTTTATTATTTCGTCTAATTCTGCTGCAAAACCGTTTTCTAACATTCTAAAGAGATAGAAAACGATGGTGGGCGAAAAAGAAAGAGGGAAAAGTGCAACATGTAAAATTATATTTCCGTTTTTCATACCTGTCAGCTTCGTCGATAACCAGTATTTCGATTGAATCCAAACTAAATGATGGCGAATTGCGCACATGGTCAATTAACCGTCCCGGCGTCGCGATTACAATGTCAGGTCTCTGACGTAACTCTGTTTCTTGTGGCTTCAACGACAACCCACCTAAATGAAACGTCAATCGATATAAAATAATCCTGGTAGGCGGTTGCTTCTCTCACCGATCCCTTATTTCATCATTCACCACCTTTCACCTGCCCACTTCCCTTTTTCCCCCAATCCTCTCCACAATCGTCAGGTTACAAACTTACCAATACACAAACAAAAACTAACATCCACAAATTGCCCAATCGTCCTCGCCACCTTGTCAACCTGTATAGCCAATTCTCTCGTTGGACACAATATCAAGACTCGGGTAGAAGCCTTTTCTCTCGGTTTGTATAGTAATCGCTCCAAAATCGGAACCACGAATGCGGCTGTTTTACCAGATCCCGTTATCGCTCCTCCGCAGATGTCTTTACCCATTAGAGCAACGGGAATGGTTTGGGATTGGATCGGAGTCGGGGTAACAAAGTTCAACGTTGAGAGGCCTTTGAGAATCGGACGAGACAAGTTTAGGGAAGAGAAGGATGTTATCGGAGTTTCGGGGGGTGAAGGGGGTAATGAAAAGTATGATTTTTTACGCTGCGTTTAACAGTAATCATGGAGTTTGTTAAAAAATAGTTTAACGAAATGCAATAAACGAGTGATCAATTCAATACTAGCATAAATACTTACTTGTTTCTCATGTTCTGTTTCCTCATCACTTGAAGAGTCGGATGCTCGCTCGCCGCGCTTGGCGTGAAAATCTCTTACTTCTTCTTTATCACCGTCATCTGACGATTCAAGGTCGGCCTCACTGTCTTCCTCGTCCTCTTCTTCCTCTTCTGCCATTGCTCCAAATGCATCATCATCTGATTCTGCGTCTTTGATTGTATTATCACGATCCTCTCTATCGGATTCATCTTTCTCCCCATTACCATCATCCTCTTCCTCCTCCTCTTCATCGTCTTCAACTTCATCATCGTCTTCGTTTATGAAAGTCGTCAAGTTAGTTAGATCGAATCCAAGTAAAATCCACGAATCATGCCATCAAGTCAATTGTTAGCCCAACCTGTGCTGCCGTCGTCGTAAAAGACAATTTCATTGTTGTCATTGTCGTCGAAAGTTAAATCGGAATCCATTTCATCGTTTTCTTCCTGCTCTTGTTCGTTTTCTTCATCGTTTATATTATAATTATTATCATCATCATCAATTGTCATTATAAAATCATCGTGTATAGTTTTATGCGAGTCGATAGGATTAGCTTTTGACGATTGCAAAGTCTCTTGCTTTTGCTCCTGCTTTTCTTCGTGCTTTCGTTCCTGCTTTAGCTTATGCTTTTGCTTCTTTTGTTTTTTGGTCATTTTGACGACGTGAATAAAAATTTTACCATCGATCAGATACTGTGTGTGACTAAAAATGCCAAAATTCTGGCCCGATCGATCGTCATATTGTACATGGTATGACCAAAACAGTTAATCTCTATTGTGACATGACACGTTTTTCCAATTTCAATAATATTAAATTTGGGAATAACGAGATTGATTAAATAACCTCGGCTCACTCTATTCGTTTGTTCGCTAATTTTGTGGAAGTCGTACAGTCTTCGGCAAGGCATATTTTTTATTAAATACAAATTATTTGTATACAATATTCGAGTTTTTTTACATGTGTTCAAGTAAGTCCAAAATACACGGAAAAAAGCTACTATTTGTATTGACAGTGTAATTTCGGGAAACTCTACTGGATAATGCAATACTAATATTAAAGGCCGTATTCATTAGAATATCTAATTCTATCACATTACTTTGTTGTCGTGTCGTTATATACGGGCGGGCCATAATGTCCTTTTAGCTTGTTCTAATTAATATGCCCATGAGACTTTTTGTGGTGATGCTGAAAAGTTTTGTCTTTGATTCTTTATTTACAGAAGCTACATAATAATTATTGATAAAATTGTTCCATTCCCTCATAGTCAGCTTTTTCGGCAACTACCTGACTTTATTAGACTTTTCCCCTTTCAGTTCTTTCTTGATTCGAGTGAATAAGAAAAAATCACAATGAATAAAGTCTGGACTATATGAAGAATGGAGAAGTTTACCTTTTTTTTCGAACATATTCTGCTACTACTACGATTGCTGAATTATGTAGCACAACATAATCATAATAAAGCTGACATCCTGAACAGCCGTCTATAAAATTTTAACAGTACTATTCGCGAAAGCCTACCAGTACTGTATGCCATTTACTGTGCGAAGCAATAGTGCTCTTACTTCTGCATTGAGTTGTGAATCTGACTGTAACATAAATGTAGTATAGTTGCTGTTCGCGGCTCATTTTGTCCAGTTGTTTTGTATACGATTTTTAAAAAACTACTTTTCGAGTTTTTTTTTTTTTATTCTCAAATTGTAGACTCTGTCTCCGCAGTTGTTATCAAAGGAGAGGTTTATTCCTCGAAACTTTGCGGAACATCTATTTTTGGATCAATTGAAATTGACCCGGGGCGATAAAACTTTTCTACACCACGTAATTGACTTCATCGTACAAGTTTAGTATGATGTGTTACTTTATTCACATGTAACATGCCAGGCCAATATAAATGTAAAAGTGTTCGTATATCAAACCTTGGAGTTTTAGCTGTTTTCTATCCAAATTGTTCAATTAAATAATAATCCCGATGTTAACAAATCGAAGGCAAGTTCGATTTCATATGCTGTCAATACGGAAAACTTTTGCTAGTACCAGTAATAAAAAATCTAGTTCAATGAATGCACGAAATAAATTTAGAATATAAAGATTACTCTAATTTCAAGAATTTTATAAACAGTTGTAACGTGCTAAAGATGCCGATTTCTAGAAAAATTGCGATTGCTTATATACCTCTCGACAGTTTTACTAAACTAGTTAACGTCAAAAATTGGAATATATTTGGTTGTTCTAAAACTTGACATACCCTTATTTTATGCAGCTTTTACAATTGTCACATTTCTTGGAATGCTTGTGACATCAATTGTACAGTATGCAGAAATGACGTTTTGTATTATATAATCCTAACACTTTGAAGTAAATTCATTTTATAAGCCTAATAAGACTATGCCGATTGCGAAAATATATAGTAAATTACCATAAATAAAATACCGCATTTTTCAGAATCTGTACGTTAAATATCTGTATTTTAATACAGAAAATCTGTATTAAAATACAGACTTTTGACGACTCTGGCGCACCATATTAGACTTCTATTGGTGAAAATGCAAATTCGCATCTGCGTGTTACAGAACGTATTTTAGGCTTAACAAATTGGGTTTAAGCATAAGGTGCGTTTTTGTTAACTGTTTATTTCATGTTAACCAGCCCCAACCGAACTAACAGCATACCATTTTTCAAACTGACTGGACTTTGTAGAGGATTGAGAAACGAAATAATAAGACCAGTCATACTATTATACAGTTTAAAGTTCGAGTTACCCATCCCGTTAGCTATTGAGCAGGAAAGCGCTCGTTAGAATGGATGTAGAGACTGTGTCGAGGCAATAGTCACGGGAGAGCGGATAACTACTGTCTCGGTTTGGGATCTAGCTGCGCCGTCGTAGGAGTGT